ACCAAACGAGTGTGCACGCATACTCCCTTAAAAGACCTTCGCTTGAAAAACAAGAATAAAGCGGCAATAGTACTGTTTGTCCATTTTTTGAGATGCCATAGCCACTTCCTCAAAATACTCAGAATTAATAACTCAAGAAGTCTGTCATTAATTTGGACGTATCTGCCGAAGAGGTCTTAGTCGCACAATTTTACCTCTAACTAAGACGTTTGGTGCAGTATTTTTCAATGAAAAAATGTGCATGAAAACGAATCATCTCTAGTTGAATGCCAACAAAGACTTTATTGAAGTATCCCTACTGTTGACCAATCACCGACGAAGGGGCGTAGACTTCGGCTCCAAACTTCGGAATGCCTCCAGAATGTTTTGTTTTGTGCCTGAACAGCCGAAAAAACCCTCACCGAAGTCCAAAACTAACAAAAATGTCACAAAATGTTGTCATAATATATGCACAAACTCTACCGCAATGTTTCGGCTGGGAAGCATGCGTAAGCCTTAAGCAGCAGGGGTAAAATACCAGACGTTCTGGTGATGTATTTAGGGGCTCCTCTTTACAACGTGAAGGTGATAATGGAAAGTATTGAGAGACAGTGTTGAGAAGCTCTGTCAGTGTGAAAGTGTTGAGTGAATATCACAAATTCTCACAATCTGAGCGCTAACATAATGTAGCTGCAACAGTAAATCCCCTTGGATCACACATTGGAACTATTAGGTGGTTACAAACATGTTGTCAGGAAGTTCCAAATTGTCTGTGGCTCTTCTGCTCTCCTCTTCATCCATACAGAACAACTTGTCCTGAATGTGTTGGGATCTATGGGACAGATAGAGTTGTACATGTAAAGGGGTGGTCTGGTCACAATGAACACACAGAGAGAGCAGTAGATCTGTCCGGCAGCCTCGCATCACCCCTCTGGACACAATGCTCTGTATTGAGGCTGAATCAGAGAGGAGCGGACTAGGGTGAATGTGGCCAATGTTAGACCCATATAGCCACCTCTAACATGAATTGCTCCACCCAGCCACAGAATAGGATGAGGATGAAGAAGGGACAAAGATGGCCTTTCTTCAGGACGAGCTTTAATGTTGTTGTGAAAGTGTCACGATGTTCCTCTTTCCACAGTGCATTCGGAAAGTATTCAGACCCCTTGACTTTTTCCACATTTTGTTACGTTACAGCCTTATTCTAAAATGGATTAAATAGTTTGTAATGACAAAGGAAAAACCGTTTTTTAGAAATGTTTGCAAATGTATTTTTTTTTAAAGAACGGAACTATCACATTTACATAAGTGTTCAGACCCTTTACTCGTTTCCTCCAGACGTGACGCTTGGCATTCAGGCCAAATAATTCAATCTTGGTGTCATCAGACCATAGAATCTTGTTTCTCATGGTCGGAGAGTCCTTTAGGTGCCATTTGGCAAACTCCAAGCACGCTGTCATGTGCCTTTTACTGAGGAGTGGCTGCCGTCTGGCCACAGTACCATAAAGGCCTGATTGGTGGAGTGCTGCACGGATGGTTGTCCTTCTGTAAGGTTCTCCCATCTCCACAGAGGAACTCTGGAGCTCTGTCAGAGTGACCATTGGGATCTTGGTCACCTCCCTGATTGCTCAGTTTGGCTGGGCGGCCAGCTCTAGGAAGAGTCTTGGTGGTTCCAAACTTCTTCCATTTAATAATGATCGAGGCCACTGTGTTCTTAGGGACCTTCAATGCTGCAGAAGTTTTTTGGTACCCTTCCCCAGATCTGTGCCTCGACATAGTCTCAGAGCTCTATGGACAATTCATTCAACCTCATGACTTGGTTTTTGCTCTAACATGCACTGTCAACTGCATGTCCAATCAATTGAATTTACCACCGGTGGACTCCAATCAAGTTGTAGAAACATCTCAAGGATGATCAATGGAAACAGGATGCACCTGAGCTCAATTTCGAGTCTCATAGCAAAGGGTCTGAATACTTATGTAAATACGGTATTTCTGTTTATATTTGTAATAAATTAGCAACAAAAACCTGTTTTCGCTTTGTCATTATGGGGTATTCTGTGTAGATTGATGCCATAGCCATAATGTGGCTATGCTCTCTTATGAGATGGGCTTCTCCACAGCTGTCTCTACAGGCTGGTGATCTGTTGACATTGCTTAAACAGGCTAGGAAGGAATGCTGCAAATCAGGGGAGCTTCAGCTTTCAATGGGGGATATGGAGGGCTCTGACAGTGGCTGCCAGCGAACCCTCACCACCTGTATCCCTTAGGAATGAATGTCATCATGGTGCTCCTGTACAAATCTTTGGCTCTCCAGAGACTGTGACAGACCATGTCAGTCCTGTGAGATCCCCCTGACCCCCATTCCCCCACCATCCCCCTTTCCACATGTCACCACCTCTCTTCAACCAGAGGCCCTCTCAGACCTGTTGTACTGTAGTTGACCCCTTCTCCTGCCCCTACCCCTGCCCCTGTGCTGTGTGCGCCCCCATCCCTCCTCCTATGCCACGCTCTGTTACCCATGAGCACCGTCACCTTACATGTGAGGTCAGAGGAAAGGAAGTGCCGCTGATGTTGTCAACTCCACACAGGGAGCAGCTAACGCTGGTCTTTTTTCACATTGGAATTGTGTGTTTTACGATTATGTTTGAAGAAAGAGTTTGGGGAAGATATTTTAAGGACTAAATGTACTTCTTAGAAGGCAGTGTGCTCCGATAACGGAAATACACTATGGAATTCTTTAATACCATTATATTTCCTCTCATAAAAAAATAAAAGTACATTTACATGTTACACAAAGATTTGCCTGAGCTGTAGTATTTGTATGTTAGCCTGTTGCTAGGAGGTGCTGTACAGAGTTGAGAGTGTTTTGGGGTGGTGGTTAGCTCTGACATGAAGTGTCTGTTACTCTTGATTCCATCTTTAGAAGGTACAGGGTGGTGGTTGGCTGTTATAAATGATTTCCCCTCTTAAGAGAGGAAATACTGAAGTATAGGTTTGGGTTTACACCCACACACACGTTAAGGGCCGACACATGCTGAGGCTTGGCAGTTCCTGTGGAAAGTTGACCAGGCCGTTACAACCCTACCTGGGGCCATGAATGAGTGCACAGTCACGCGGCAGCTACTGGGCTTGAGGTGAAGAGGCAGAACGTTTAGTTTCCAGTCACACCATGTTAGATCGACAGACAGACAGGGTGGTTGTAATGCAACCTTTCTCATGACAAAACGGTTTTCTCTCTGAAAGTATAAACATGGCCTCATTAACCCACAGGACTAGACAGAAAGTTGTGAAAGAACCAGCTCTCTGTTGCTTGTCTCCCCAAAGGTTTGAGCAACACATTGGACAGAACATTGGTAGGCTTTATGCTGGCAGTGTTCTTGTCAGGTTATTCTTCCCAATTGGACATGTTGCTGGAAAATTCAATGACTGTTTTCTTGTACATGTTTTTCCAGCCACCTTGGTCAGAAAGACACTTTGTTACCTTCGCTTGTGTGTGTGGGCTTGTGTTATTATCCTTGTGGGTACCGGAAATCCCCCAAAGTCCCCACAAGGATAGTAAAACAAGGAAAATTGTCCACACGAGGACAAAGGCTATTTTAGGGTTAGGAGTTAGGATTCGGTTAGTGTTTAGGGAAAATAAGATTTTGAATGGAAATCAATTGTAGGTCCCCACAAGGATAGTAAAACATATGGCGTGTGTGTGAGACGCATATGTTTATGCCCGACAAACACCATAGACCGAGTCAAAGAGACCTTAGTCTCCAAGTCAGACTGGTCTCTGGGGGAGAATGTCTCCCAAGGTTTTCCTCTGTGACACACCAGCAGACAAACAGACAGACAGACAGCATCCAGGAGCCACACACACCTCTGTATGCTCTCTAAGTGGTAGAACTCCACCTTTCTACTCCAGACCTTACTTACCATAGCAACTGTAAATGTCTGTCTCTAATTCAGCATTTTCATTGAAGTGCTGCTGAATCATTGGCTGGTTCTGCTGGTTGTGACTTTTGAAACATGTTTGAGTGTTTCCTCGCTATGTGGAGCCTGTATAGCAGCTGTGGTCTGTGGTGTTACTGTTGCGTCGCCCACAACCTCTTAATGCAGCAGTGGCTGTTTTCCCTTCAGAGACATGGAGTCGCAACCAAAACCCAAATACTGCAGCTTCTGAGGCCCAGTGGCAGGACAACCCAGCATTAATGCTAACCCCAACCTCATTGTTAATGTGGATAGGGAATAATTGGCCTGAGGGCCTCAGATGGCCTCCTGGAAGGAGCCTGTAAAGGCAGCCATTAATCCATCACTAAACATGAAATCATCTGGATGGCACTTAGAACTAAATGGGGCTATTATTATCATGATGATAGTGCAGTCTTTTTGTAGATCTGTGCAGATGTCGCCCGTCTAGACACGTTCCTCGCAAACTCTGCCAATAACCCCCCCGTAATCAATCCTCTTGTGTACACCATCATTATAATGGCTATTATATGAAATGACTCTGTCCTGCGATGTCTAAATGGCTAATTGCATGACATCTTTGCACTAAACTTTGAGCTACTGCCAGTTTCTGCATCGGTTTAATGGAAACCTATTGATTTGTCCACTGCCTGTTTTTCTCTCTCTCCCTCGCACTCTCTCGCACTCTCTCTCTCTCTCTCTCTCTCTCACCATCTCTCTCTCTCTCACCTACTCTCTCTCTCTCACCTACTCTCTCACCATCTTTCTCTCTCTCTCACCATCTCTCATCTCTCTCTCTCTCTCCTCTCTCTCTCTCTCTCTCTCTCTCTCTCTCTCTCTCTCTCTCTCTCTCTCTCTCTCTCTCTCTCTCTCTCTCTCTCTCTCACCATCTCTCTCTCACCATCTCTCTCACCATCTCTCTCACCATCTCTCTCTACTTTCAGAGACTGGACAGCTTGGCCAACCACTACTCTCTGGCTCCCCCTGAGGGTGGCCAGTGGGAGAGCAGTGGAGAAACACTGACCTGTGTGTACATGCCAGACAGCCACGCCATCCAAGTGCCAATGAGACGGGACCATACAGTGGCTGATGTCGTCTCCCTAGCCTGCAAGGTGAGAGTCACAGAGAAGGAATTGTTATGATGTTCACGTTCCCAAAAGTTAGCCCTGTGAGTGGTACTGTTACGGCAGACATCTTTGATTTGAACAGGGGCACTTAAGAGAAAAGCTTTTACTTGAGGTTATGCCTTGCTTTTTTTAAGCCTGCTTTTATGTATATAAAAAAACAACACTTTCAATGTAATCATGTTAAAATCTCCAATCTGTGAGTAATTTGACCAACCCACGCTCTACTGCCTTTTGTGACCCACTCATTTTTATTTATTGTTATGCCCATTGTTAGAGCTCTGGCTTATACAGTAGACAGTTCCATATGTTTAGTGTGCTTGTCTGTCTGTCTGTCTCATTGTCTCTGTCTCTCATTGTCTGTCTGTCTCAGTGTCTGTCTGTCTCTCATTGTCTGTCTGTCTCCCGGCCCATATGCTCTTTACCCTGAGGGCCTTGTACACACACACTGCACTCTCTGACCTGTGTGTTGGCACAGGTGACACACACACACACACACACACACTCACCTGCCCTCACTCTGTCTCTCAGGTGTGTGACAGAAGTGGATGGCTAGCTAGCTCATTCTCACACCCACACTTCTTGGGCCGGGACGATACCAGTACCGCGATACTCGTTAGTATCGTGGCAAGGAGACAAAACACAAAACTGATTTAACTTCTTTAGGAAAACAGCCCTAATGTTGGAAACAATCATCATTATGTTGTCATCCAGAGTCACATGTATTAGCACACAATGTTTTACATACAGCAGGTTTTTGAAGGACCAAAGAGTTAGGTCTGCTTCCTGTTTTCATCTTTGCCATATTACGACACTGGTATTGTCACAGCTTTACACACAGCACAGACACATGTACACACACACTTTATTAATCCCACAGGTCAAACTTGATGCCACTTCATCTTAATCACCTTTGAGCTGTAGTGAAGCCATCCCATGTCACATGATACAACAGCACAGATATAACCAAATTCATTTTTTGTGTAGACCAGGTGTCTGGCCTAGACTAGTTGTATTTGCTATGTATTGCTGCATTCAGGGTGTTGACAGATAGTGTTTCCCTGTCACAGTCGAAGCAGCTGGACCCTAGCCTGCACTGTCTCAGACTACACAGATGTTTGGCCCAGAACGTAGAGGTCCGCACCCCCACACCCAGTGAACTACTACATGACCTGGTGAGCCAACACAATATTCAGCATAATACTTTACTGGAAATGCATAGAACAATAGCATTGTTTTAGTTGTGTTTAACATCACTGGCTGATGTGTGGAGTTGTGGTTTCTAAGCTGTAGTTGTCCCTCTTTTGTGCAGTTGTATGACGAGCTTGAGGTGTTCCTACTGAATGTATTCACCCTGCACATGACCAGACCTGTCTGCACTGGGGACTTTGGTGAGTGTTGTGTTCTCTAGCAGATGAACAGTATGTATGTCATTGCCACAGACATCCTATAAATCATTGGCTGTATGTACTGATATGGTCATTGCACCCTACGAACCATCATTGGCTCAGTCTCTCGTCTCTGTTGTCAGGCTTTGCAGTGACAGGGCACATAGACGGACAGAGGAACAGCCGCATCTTTGTCAGTGAGGTGCTGTCTGATGGGCTGGCCTTCAGTGAAGGTATGTTCACTTAACTTTGACTTAAACATGATTCATATTGAAATATTTATACATATCGCCATGATACTGTTTGTACTGTGACCGTATTTCTTACTGTGTTTGTTTTGTGTGTGTTCCTCTCCCAGGGCTGAGACCAGGTGATGAGATTGTGGTTCTGAACGGTCGAGGCGTGTCCACTCTGGACCTGGGTCTGATCCAGACACTGTTTGCTGAGCAGACCCTCCAGCTGACCCTCAGACGGGACGCCCCGTCCACCTCACCCCTGACCTCTGGTCCCTCGACCCCGACCCCACTGCCCAACCAATCACAGCTGCTGCAGGACTTCCTGGACACACACCACCGTGCCAAGTCCACCACAGGTGAGAAGGCCTACACACACATACTAACGCACATGCACATGCACACACCCAGTACTGTGTCTTTGCCAAAAGGCTGGTAGGCATCACTTCACAGGTCTAACACAATTACTGAAACCATACAGGATGTTGGGAAAATCACTGGCACAAAGAATTGGCATCAATTATATGGTAGAGCTCAGCATCAGCTGGTTTACTATGAAGCTGACTCAATCACCAACAATCACAGTAGACAACCAGATTGATAATACATTGATGTTGACCTTGGCTTAGTATTGGATACTGTAATTTACTGTGAAATGAGAGCAGTAAACAGACAGCAAGTATTCCTGGCTGTGGCAGGTGGCTAGTGAGAAAGAGTCAGGGTCATACTTCCACAGAATTGCTTCTACTTGGCAGATACTGTGTGGTAAGACTGAGCCTACTGTCAGCATGTGTGGGTTCCACCAACACCTTCTCTGGAAACGGTCTATCAGCAAGCTGTTGCCCAACCTTGCTTTTCTCCACCAGTGTGATCTCATAATTGAAATGATGCCAGAATATCAGAAAGATGCTGTAGGGTTCTGTGGAAAGTGTAATTTGATTTTGGTATGAAATTACCATACCATTATTTTGTTTTTACCTTCATTTTAGCAGGGAGTCACCATTGAGACCACTGTCCAGTGACATTTCACCAGCTCTCTCTCTCTCTCTGTCTCTCTCTCTCTCTATCTCTGTGTGTGTCTGTAGAGATGAGAACTTAGATGATATTTTTCACTTACACCATATGAAGTCACCACAGACTTCCTGCTTTGAGAGTCAAATACTTCCTCAAAACCGATCAGCCCCATTGGCCCTTCAGAGTCAGGCGGACCGAAGTGAGCGGCAGAAAGGTATAGAAGGTTTAGAACATGTGTTCAGGGGAGAGAAGTAGTTTTAATAAGAACTGCTGCTCTTTAATTATTTGTTACTTTTATTTTGTATTATTTTATATTGTATTTTTTGTGTGTTTTATTTGTATTTTTTTGGTATTCTTTCTTAAAACTGCATTGTTGGTTAAGTATTTTTTTTTGAAATTGCACAACATTTCACTTCTCTGGTTGGCGATACTTTTTAAGGTAAGGTTATCATAGTATATGGTCATGTTTTCCTCTACTGTATATGTATAATGTCTTTTGAAGAAGTGTCTTTTATAGACTGGAAATTTTGCTGGTGATGCTTCAGTCTATAGTCTTTATACACTGAGTGTACAAACATTAGGAACACCTTCCTAATATTGAGTTGCACCCCCTTTTGCCCTCAGAACAGCCTCAATTCGTCAGGGCATGGACTCTACAAGGTGTCAAGCTTTCCACAGGGATGCTGGCCCATGTTGACCAATGCTTCCCACAGTTGTCAAGTTGGCTGGATGTCCTTTGGGTGGTGGACCATTCTTGATACACGCGGGAAACTGTTGATCGTTAAAAACCCAGCAGCGTTGCAGTTCTTGACTCACTCAAACCGGTGCACCTACTACCATACCCCATACTTAGATATTTTGCCTTGCCCATTCACCCTCTGAATGGCACACATACACAATCCATGTCTCAATTGTCTCAAGACTTAAACATCTCCTCCCCTTCATCTACACTGATTGAAGTGGATTTAACAAGTGACATCAACAAGGGATCATAGCTTTCCCCTGGATTCACCTGGTCAGTGTATGACATGGAAAGAGTTCCTAATGTTTTGTACACTCAGTGTAGTTTTGGTCGTTAGTGAAAGTATGATGGATTTCCATGAAGCAAGTTAAATATGAGGGATTTTCTCAAGATGCTATTTATACAGATAGGGTTTTCATGTAATTATGCTTCATTTATTCTGAGTATGAGAACTGAGAAAGTTTCTCTTTTTGAGTATTTGGGGTGTTGAGTTCTCACAGTGTACTAGAGAAGCAGTTCTCAACCTTTCCGTTCCGGGGACCACTGAATCACCATTTAAAAAAAATATTTCCGTCAACAAGTTGAAAACCACTGTACTAGAGAGAGTGAAATACAGTAATTTATCACTACAACATTCTGAACCAAAACCACAGGCAACACTTCACACTACAGGACTGGTGATGACATGCAGTAAAACTTACCGAAAACTGTGTAGCCACTGGCTTATCACTTAGTTGAAGATGAAAGCATCTTACATAGTGCCACATTCTCACACTAGTGAGATATGAGATAGAGGCCAGCAACATGAGTGCAGTTTCCTCCTCTACCTCTAGAGGGGGTGCTATCCCAGTCAGGATGATGAGGGTGATGAGAGGTCTGAACCATCCTGGAGTGTGACAACATCAGGGTATACCACTCTATGGTAGAAGGCAGCACCCCTGGTGTGTGTTAGAAATGTTTTGTGACATGCTATATTGACTTGAGATATGCATAGCAGGGAAAGGGTTTGTCCATCTATACATCTCTGATAAGTGCTTCTGAATGCTGCAAATCTTGGAAAAACTTTACTTGACACCCAGCGTCATAACACGTTATGACACGGTCATAACCATGCCATAAATCAAATCAAATCAAATGTTATTTGTGACATACATGTTTAGCAGATGTTATTGCGTGTGTAGCGAAGTGCTTGTGTTTCTAACTCCAACAGTGCAGTATATCTAACAATTCACAACAATACACAACAATACACACAACCTAAATGTAACATATTGGAATTAAGGAATATATTAAGATTAATTCCATTCTTTTCCTTTTAGGTTGTGTGTATTCTTGTGAAAATGTTATAACAGCTGACATAACCTGTCATAATATGGTCATAACACTGTCATGACCCATATATTTACACCTGTTGTGACATATACTGCATTATTTTATGGCTGGTTATGACACCTACATCAAATGTGTTTTTTCCCTGCCAACAAGTTTCCTCTTGTTTGAAAGTTTGTTTCTTAAGTCCTTTGTTGTTGTTGTAATGAATTCTTTACAGTCATGTTTGTTTCATCATATTTTAAATAACTTATAGAAAATACACTTTATGACACTGTCATATAAAGCATTATAACCATCCTGTGTCACTTTACTTAGTGCATGTGTGCGCAATTACAATGAATTTAATATGGTCAATTTCAAATAAGATTATGTAACCTGAACACAATAGTGTTGATAAATAGACTATGGTGTTAATGGAATGTTTTGCCGTGTGGTAGGTTTTAGGTTTTATGGGTTTTAGGTTTTAGGTTTTATGGGTTTTAGGTTTTAGGTTTTATGGGTTTTGACACTCTCTTATGTAGGTGTCATAACCAGCCATAAAATAACGCAATATGTCACAACAGGTCTAAATATGCGTCATGACAGTGTTATGACCATGTTATGTCAGCTGTTATGACACATTATGACCTGGTTATAACCGTGTCATAACGTGTTATGACGCTGGTTGTCAAGTAGCGTGTTAGCCAAATCTTTATGTCCCAGAATACAATCAAAAGGTCAAGCCAGTTGATTGTGCTCATGTAGCTCCTGTAGCTCAGTTGGTAGAGCATGGCGCTTGCAACGCCAGGGTTGTGGGTTCGATTCCCACGGGGGGCCAGTATGAAAAATGTATGCACTCACTAACTGTAAGTCACTCTGGATAAGAGCATCTGCTAAATGACTTAAATGTAAAATGTGCTGAGTTGATTCCCCACAAGCCTGTGAGTTTGTTAGAAGCAGGAAGGGAGGAAGGCAGGGAGGGTCGAGGTCCCCACCAGACCCAGTGAGTGTAATCAGATATCGCCCCACTTAATCCAGTCAGGTGCCTTTTAACCAGGGGCAGCGTGTGACTGAGCGCTTTCCCAAAATGGGATTTTCAGGAAAGATACAACAAGAGTATATTATCAACAGCTTTCTCCTAAGACCACGTCCAACAGACAGAGGGAACTGTAGGATTTGTTCCCTTGACTGACTAGTGGAAGAGCCACTTCTCTGGGATAATGTTTATCATGACTGTTTTTAGAATGCTGCATTCTAACACGTGGACATTGACCCATGGACGCCTATGACGGCGTGGTATACTGTTACTAGAGAAGTGTGTTTTATGTTCTGTGGTCAGTAGATAGATGCTGAACTGTAATCATCACTCCCTCTCAGAGGAAATGCTGTGACATGACTAGCCTCGATAACAACAGCACTTGGCTGTGCTTGTATGAATTGGCCAAGCCAGTTAACAAAAAAAAACACTGAACATCATCCAGTAAATGTGATGCTAATTGCTGTGTGTCTCTCTCCTCAGATGTGTCCTTGGTGCCAGAGGTCCCTGGTGAGTCGCTAGGCTCTGGGCTGGAGAATGGTCTACAGGACTCCCACCAGAGCCACAGGGCCGTACAACACAGCAAGGTAAGACTGAATGAACGCTGCGCCGCTGGCACTGCCCATACTGGGTTGAATGAGTCGGCATAAACATACAGAGAGGAAGACCGAAGGACAGAGTGAGATATAGAGGTAGAGCGGGGGAGACAGAATAATCAACAGATCTTTGAGACCATGAACAAACACACTACAGGCCCCAAGCAATTTTGAAACACAGTTACTAATGTACACACTTTATTAGGTACACCGCCCCGTTCATGAAAATAGTTTGCTCCTACAGACAGTGAGTCACGTGGCCGTGGCTTGCAATATAAAGCAGGCAGACAGGCATCGAGGCATTCAGTTACTGTTCGATTGAACGCTAGAATGGGCAAAACGAGTGACCTAAGCGACTTTGGTGTAATGGTGTGGGGAATGTTTTCCTGGCACGTTAGGTCCCTTGATACCAATTGAGCAACAATTGGATGCCACGCCTTGTAGAATCCATGCCCCGTAGAATTCAGGTTGTACTGGATGCAAAGGGGTTCCGACCCGGTACTCGATGGGTGTACCTAATAAAGTGTATATGTGTTCAAAATGAGTGTGTGAGCTGTGCATATAAATGTGTGTATGTGTGCTTGGCGCCCCTCATCAGGGACAGCGGTGGTAGCGGGGCGGAAGACGTCTTGGCACCACACTTAAAGATCTCTATATAATTACACTGACCTCAGTCTAAAGACAGCTTATTACTGTCACACTCAGAGAGAGATGCCCTCAGTCTAATGGCCATA